CACCGCGCTCGAATATTGGTTGGTAAGCTTGCTGGCAAAATCCTCAAAGTCTGCGATCGACCCCGGGGGTAATTGATGAAACCAGTCAAGTGCTCCCCATGCAAGGTCGATAGAAACGCCTTACAACATACAAATCAGAATACCCATGTAATACAGCCATGTTCTCAAAGGTCCTCACATGCCTTGACGGGTCAGACGACCCATCATACACCAAATTGGTCTCCTTGAAATTATTTGGTAGGGGGGCTGCGAGAATCTCCCTCGAGAATGGATGTCCTCGAGCCCTCATTTCCGGCCTTCCTTCAACCTTGTCTTGCAACTGGCACAACTGCTCCGCCATCCTCTCCATCGCACGATCTCTTCCACCTCCTTCATCTCCATAACTGGACACGTCCTCATCTTGGACTCCTACTGCCGTAGTCGGCGCGGTGGTGGCGTTAGATGTATGGCTAGTGACTTGCTGCACCGCTTGCGCCGCCGCGGCTGCCGCTATCCTTTGCATCTCCTCCCTGGTCATCGTCACCATCTGTTGTCCAGGAGCTTGTATGACGGCTTGTTGTGGTGCTCCTCCTTGTGTCGCCACTCCTCCTTGCTCCATCACCCCTCTTGGTTGTACCATCACTGGTTTTTGTGGCGGCGGCGGTGGCATCGCCGTCGCAGCTGCTGCGCGAGCTTCCTGGGCCCGGCTGGAGCCGACATCTACTCTGGGAATCTCTGTCGTCGTTCCCACACCTTGAAGGATAGGTGTAGAAGTGATCGGTGTTTGCGATGGGCCAGAAAAACTCGGAGGAGGGCCTTGCCCCAACGACCTGGTCGTCATCCAAGCTTCGTCGAACATCGACTGCAAGTTTTTGGGAATTCCGTCCGCCATAGCTGAGCTTCAAACACAACTTCTGAAATGAAAGTCCCACAGACGACGCCAATAATGCAAAAGTGTGCACGTACTGGTCCGGTTTGGGGTAGATCGATTCTTGTCCTCACCGGTAGAACGCCAGAAACCTGCAAATAACTCTCACACTGGGGGTTGTGTCCGGTGAAGAGCCTCCGATGCTTAAGTCAGTATGTGTATGAGTATATTGAAGTGAATAATGGAAAAATCGTGTTAAGGGAGAAAGGCTCACCCCCTTTATATAGGGGTGAGATACCTGCCCTAATAGTTGCCCGGATAAGGATGAGTTAGCTGCCCAAGCTGCCCATCCGTACTCTGACACGCCGCACACATGTCAGAGGTGGCGCGGGGCGTTGGGAGCTGTCAGAGATGGTTATCACTATCACCCAATATATTCTCGACACGTGTCCTCCTGCACATTGGGTAAATATTCTCCTGGAATTCGGTTGGAGGCTCCTACATGCGCCTGTAACTAGGCTGATCTATTGAGTGTTGGGTCCACGAGATGCTCGACCTGCTGAGGTCGATAAGGTTGCTCGATCGTTTGTTTGGTCGAGCGATGGATTGGTCGACTGTTTGACTGGTCGACAAGTCGTCTTGCTCGATCTTTTCATTGCCTGGCTCGATTCCTTCATGGTATGACTCCCCAAACCGGTTCAGCAGACCGGTTTATCTTGGGGTATATAATATCCTATATCAATATATACATCCTTCAATTTTCCATCAAGGAAAATGATTTTAACATCCATCTGTTAAATATCATAGTCATAGTATGCAACTTTTGCAAGTAAAAAATCCAATGGACTTGATTTCATGAACATGTGAAAAGATTTTATTACAACGTCTTCGCATTGAGTATAACCTTTGGACACAAACCTAGCCTTGTAGGTTTGTATTTTGCCATTTGCATAAGATTTTTTCTTGAAAACCCATTTGCGTCCAATAGGTCTAACCCCAGTTGGCAAATCAACCAAGTTCTAAACTTGATTTGTGTACATCGAGTCCATTTATGATTTTATGGCTTACAACCACCTCCCTCACTCGATGTCTTACATAACTCAGTGTAGGTCCTAAGTTCATCTTTGTTAGGAATTTCCACATCGTTGTGGTCCGCCAAGAGGAAAGACAATCTAATTGGTTCATGACGAGTTCTAGTCCACCAAGAGGAAAGACAATCTAATTGGTTCATGACGAGTTCTAGTCAACCTACGGAGTTTTATAATTTGTATTTGTTGTTAGACATTTTGATCTTAAAGAGATTCTTGTACGTTGGCGTTTCTCAAATGATTAGAGGGTTCTTAAAAATCACGTTTGCATGTGTTTATTGAGAATGAATGACATCCAAGCCATTAGGTATTGGTTGTATATAAGTGTGCCGCACTTCTACAGTTTCACCCACATTACTCCCACTAGCTAGAAGTTGTCCATGAAATGACAAATTTCTATTTACAGAATCACCAATACCTCCCTCCAAAACTTTGTCAATACCGAACGATAATTCTAGAACCTTAATGTTATTTTAAGTTTCTTGATCCTTTCAAGTTCTATCACAACACGACATTATTCCTTGAAGAAATAATATTCTACTAGAAACATCGTTTGTCTAAAGAACGTACCTTCAGCTGATCTCCTCCATACATCAGAGTCTAACAATTTTATTCATTCCTTGACTAATGATCTCTTTACTGAGTTTTTAGCATTTAAAAAGTCTAAGGAACAATCAAAGGCCGATCATACACCAGTGATAGCTTCTGCCATCTCAGACATGCATTGTCCTTCAGGTATTCCTCATTACTCACTTATGGCTTCCAAAACTTTGAATAAAAGCACATGGATACTTGATACTAGTGCTACTGATCATATGATATGTGACATGTCTTATTTTTCTAGACCACCATGTCCTACAAACATAAACATTAATTTGCCTAATGGTCAGCATGCTCAAGCATGTCATATAGGTCAACTAACCCTTAATGAACAATTAGAATTACATGATGTTCTCTTTGTTCCAAGCTTTCACTTCAATCTCATATCTGTATCCAAACTAGTGTCTTCAAATAATTGCTCTGTCACTTTCCTGTCTACATATTGCATTTTACAAGATTTGAGCAATCAAAAAATGATTGATTCTGCTGAATTAAAGGATGGTCTATACCATCTCAAACTTAGACCTCGCTGCTCTTTATTGCATTTTTATAACAATTCTGCTGCAAATGTTTCAAGTATAATTTCTCCTTTACATGTTTTTGCCCATAACTCTTGTACTGATACCACAACCATATGGCATAATACACTTTGACATCTTTCATATATCAGAATATTATAATCACCTATCAATGCATCTGATTGTGAAAAAATTCATTCTATGCCTTGTGATATCTGCCATTTTGCTAAGCAAAAGAATCTAAATTTTCAAATAAGTACCTTCATTGCATTTGACTATTTTGATCTTATACCTTGTGACATATGGGGACCTTTTCAAAAAAACTGACGATGGTTAAAACTACTTTCTCACAATTGTTAATGATCATAATAGAACCACTTGGATTTACCTCTTATCTCACAAATCTGATACCAAACATTGCATTAAGAAGTTCTATAATATGGTTGAAACTCAGTTCAACAAAAAGATCAAAGTTTTCAGGTCTGCTAATGGCACAAAGTTTTTATGCATGATTTCTGTAGTTCTCATGGTATCATTCATCAAAAGAGTTGTCTAGAACCCCCTCAACAGAATGCTAGGGTTGAGAGAAAACATCAACATTTTCTTCAAGTTTCTAGAGCATTATTATTTCATGCTCTTTACCTTTGTCATTTTGGATAGATTGCATTTTGGCTCCTGCACATATTATCAATAGGATTCCATCAAATGTTTTTACAAAAGTCTCCATTTGAAATCCTATATAAAAAGAAACCATCTTATGACCATCTCAAAGTGATAGGATGTCTATGTTATGTTTATACTCTTACTGCACATAGATCAAAATTTTCTGCCAGGGCATAAAAATTGCATTTTTCTGGGTTATCCATTGGGTTATAAAGGATACAATCTTTATAACTTGGAAACTAAGAGTACATTAATATCCATAAATGTTCAATTTTATAAAAACATTTCCCTTTTGAAACTGAAACTCCAGATACTCCTATACATATGTTTCCTACACCAGATACCTCTCATTACAATGATACCCCAAAACCCCTCTCACCTTTTCATATCACACCTCTTACACATTCTCAGAATATTTCTTACCAAATTCAACACTCACCCCAAACTCAATCTTCAAACCAATCTTAGTTCAATCATCAAATAGACAATCATACTACATCACTGGCTACTTCTCCTATTCAACCTATTCCTACAAGAAAATCAAACAGATCCCACAAACTTTCTGCCTATCAAGATATCTACAATCACTCTCTTAAGCCCTCTTCAAACCTTGCTCTATGTGCAAATAATTTCTGGCACAACTCATATCTAATTTCAAATTTTTTATCAACCAAACATTTATCTTCATCTTATGCATGTTTCACTGTTGCTATTTCCACAATAACTGAACCCACTTCATACTCACAAGCTGCCAAAGAGTAGCTACCATGAGAAAAGAACTTGATGCATTAGAACAAACAAAAACTGGTTTTTAACTGACTACCAAGTAATAAGCATTGCATATAAATCCAATGGCACCATTGGAAGGTACAAAGCTAGATTTGTAGCTAAAGGTACTTTTTTTTTTCAAAATGATAAATATTATTATAAATTAAAATGCACAAATGTGTGAATACAAGCAGCTCCTAGATGAATGGAACAACCAACAACTGAAAAAGTGGAAGGACAGGTCAAAAGACCGCCTAGATTCCCGACTAGCAACGCTAGAATAAAAGCTCGCAACTAAACTAACCAACTACATTAACAACTAAAACAACTAAAAAGACCCCAACAGGGTAATGCCCGTGTAACGTCCCGTTTTATTTTAAAGAATTTACCAAATTTATTTATGAAAATCAGAGGAAAAATTTCGCAAAATATCAAATTTAAAACTTATTTCTCAATGGGCGCTACTTAACTACCACAAACAATTAAACAAACACGAACAAACAGATAGAACTTATACATGGATAAACTAACAGTTATAAAAACTAAACCAACTTATTCCATAGGTTTCAAATCCAACCAGAAAGTTAAACATGATTCAAAGGGGTTCATCCAACATCATCATATTATTCGGAACGGAAGCATAAATATCAAAGGTAAAAGAAAATAGTTCAACATAAACAATAATAGGCGGAAGCAAGAGACAACGATAACACAATGACGAATGACCACCACTCGATCGTCTTCGCGCTGCCGCCGCCAGCCACGCTCAACCTGAAGAAAGGAAAAAGAGACAAGGAGAAAAAGAATGGGGGTGAGCAAAACCATTATGCTCACCATTACCGCACAATATATCCCGCATAAAGATTCAAAACCATAAATAAAATATACATAGAATCCAAGTTCTAACTCCCTGCACGGCCCTATCGTAAACCTCCTATGTACATACAACAACCTTCTGATCAGTCATCGGCAAGGAAGTAACCTGAAACCTTCCCACCCCGGCTCGACACAGTCTAAGGGATCCTTTCCAAGAGACAGTGGAGCTGTTCCCCCCTCTCCCCCGAAAAACACACGGATCAGGGCGTCCACCTCCCAACTAGCAACGGACAGGCGACCTCTCACTGCTTATTCATTCATCAAAGGCACTATCAACGGGACACCTAAACTAGGATTCTCACGCATACAACAGCTATCGAGACGAACATTTAAATGAAATAACAAGTGCGATAATTATAGATACAACGTAAATGTACCCACCTGGACAAAAACAAGAGAGATAGCACAAACAATACGTGTAGGCAGCAAGCTCGG